GAATTGAACTCAGGACCTTTGGAAGAGCAGCCAGTGCTCTTAACCTCTGAGCCATCTCTCCAGCCCTGTTATCAAATCTTGAACTCAGCAATTGGCTAGACTGGCTGGTTATGGACTATGGGGATCCCTGCTTGCCTCCATCTCCCAGTACCAGGGTCCCAGATTCAACCTCAGTTTCTCCATGGGTGCCAGGGATCCATGGCCAGCAAGCACTTGGCCTACTGGGCCATGTTCCTCACCCCATCATTGGTACTTTTGAGTATCTACTTGGGTATTACCTACACTATTTTAATTTTAATGGGTCTCATTTTGTAGCCCAAGCAGACCTGGCACTTACATTCCCCCTGCCTTGGTCTCCTCTCTTGTGTCTTTTTGTTTAATCTCCCAGGCTGTGAAATTCTCAAGGGCAGGATCATGCCCGGCTTGTCTTTGTTTCTTTATAAACTGGCACTTAGCTCAGACACTTTCCCAGTGTGTGTTAAACCAAGGACTGCAGACTTTCCCCAGGGTTTGTCATAGTATTATCAGTAACTCAGTGCATAGTTCAACATTTCATTCCCTGAGATGTATTGGGGTTCAGCTCCTCATGTAACTACTGTAAGCTATGAAGATGTCCCATGCCCTCAAGCTGACGCTCCTGTGTAAGGCAACCCAACTGGTGGTGGTGGTGTGAGTTTTAAATTTTCAAGTCCACAGCAATGGCAGGAGGTAGGAACTGCTATTCCCGTTTGAGAGATGTGAGAACCAAGGCTCGGAGAGCTTAGCTCACCTTCCCAAGGTCACACCACTGTGGGTAGCCCACAGCCTGGCATTTTCTACTGAGTTACCTGACTCAGCCTGGCACTGAATTTCCTCCTGGTGGCCAGGAAAGTGCTGGGTGTAACTGGTGTTTGCTAATAGGTGCTGCCTTCTAAAAGCTGAGCCTCCTGCCTGCTGTTTGTACCCCCCCTAATTAACCCCCCCCCGCAACACACAAACACAAAAAAATGGGGTCTGGGCAGTGAGAGAAGCTGCTGGAATGTCCCTCAGTGGCCTCTAGTCCTCTAGTCAGCAGATGTGTGTGTGTTGGTGGGGGGCAGTACACAGGCCTGTCAGTCCCCAAGTAAATCCCCCCCTAGCTCTGTTTTGCCTGGCAGCTCTCTGGCTTGAAGCAATTAGTATGTTTAGTTTAGTCTGTGTAGAAAGAAGCGCAGCAGCCTGGCATGGTGGTGCACGCCTTTAATAGCAGCACTTGGGAGGCAGAGGCAGGTGGATCTCTGTGAGTCTGAGGCCAGCCTGGTCTACAAAGCGAGTTCCAAGACTGCAAAGGCTACACAGAGAAATCCTGTCTCTAGACAGAAACAACAACAAAAACCCCCACAGCAGTGCAGGGGTATTTTGCTGCCTCCAGAGCTATTTCAACTTGTTAGCATGGAGGGAGGATAAAAGGGGCAGACAGCTCAGGGGGGGATACCCATCTCTGAAAAGCAGCTCACTTTCCAACAGTTTTAGGGGTTGTTCTAGCATCCTGCTGGCTCCCTTCCACACTTTCCAATCATCCTCCCCTCTCTGGAGCTGCTGACTTTGGCCCTTCTTGGCATGCCACTGAGTGCTGGCTCAGTCTAGCCTCCATTCCACCGGTGTGCACCAAGTCACAGCCCCCAAGCTTGGAAGGGCAGTGGTTCATGCTGGGCCTCCCAGGGAATACTGGAAAATCAACAAGCTGAGCTCCAGGGCCAACATGCCACAGCCTGGCACCAGGTGGGCCCGCTTGGGCAGAATAAGCAGGCACAGGCCTTGGTGGGTAGATGCACGTGGAGGCCTCTGGGCCAACGCAACAGCCGGTGCTGGAGGTCCAGGGAGGGACCATCTGGAGTTGGGGGAGAGCCAGTGCCACCTGTGGCGTGGGTGATACGGTGGATCTGAGGTCTTTAGATGCTTAGCTACTCTGGTTAGTGTAAGATAAGGGCAATGGTGTGTGTGTGTGTGTGTGTGTGTGTGTGTGTGTGTGTGGTGGCTTCCAGGACCTCCCAGAGTAATTTACTCTTCGTTATTGGGGTGATGAGCACCAAACTACCCTGAGGAATAGAAAGCCTGTGGTGGGGATGGTTTAATTGTCCATAAGTATGATGGGGAGACAGCTCAGCCAGCAAACTGCTTGCCCTGCAAGCATAAATAAAGATCGGAGTTCGATCCCTAGAATCCAGGTTTTGTTTTGTTTTGTTTTTTTAAAAGTGGGACATGGGTACAGTGGTAAGCATCTGCGACCTCATGGCAGAGACAGGAGCATCTCTGGGGCTTGCTGAGCAGCCAGCCTTAGCTTAATTGGGTGAGTTCCAGGCCAGTGAAGAGGCCCTGCCTTGTAAAACAAGATGAATAGCACCTGAGGAATTACACCTGAGGCTCACCTCAATCTCCTCATGCATGCACATTTGTACCAACATCACACACGCGCTAACACACGCACACACGCACGTATGCATGCCTGCACGCAGTCAACTACCGATAGGTTCCTCTGCCTCTGACTATAATTCTCATTTGGGCAACAAAGACTTATCTTTCTTCTATCGCCTAGGCACAGATCCTCATCCTCTGAATACAAAGAGCAAGCCTGCAGCTCTTGGCTGACTTGGGCCACCCTGATTAGCTTGGAAACCTAGCAACAGAGGGAGCTGGAGCCTGGGAAGCAGGTGCAGGGACGGGCGAGGGTGAAACAAGAGCGGAAAACAGTCCCCCTCAGGAGTGACTTATCAGCCGCTCTTGTCCTGAAGGCTTTGAAAGTTTTTGTGATTGGATTTCAGGCTTGACAGGAGACGTTGGTAGGACAACAAGAGCTAGTCACAAGTAGGACATGGGTATTTAACCATAAGCCAAACCCTTGCTTTCCTGTGTCTGTGTGTGCATGTGTGTGCATGTGCGTGTGTACTTCTGTGCAGAGGTCGGAGGTGGGTGTTGAGTGTCTTTGTTAATTGCTCTCTACTGTAGCTTTTTGAGACAGAGTGAAGACAATCGAGAGTCCGCCCGTTCTGACAAACAGACTCTAGGGGGTCCTCTCATTTTCATCGGACCAGTGCTGGAATTATAGGTGGGCACCACCATGTATGGCTTTTTTACGTGGGCATTGGGGATCTGAATGCAGATCCTCGTTGTCCGCACACCTGACTGATTAAACCATTTCCCCAGCCTCTCCTCTGGCTTCTTGAATGATCTTCAACCTTAACTGGTCTGTACAAGGTGCTAAATTTCACTTGCAATAACGCACGTGCTTTGACAGATGGAGGACAGACACAAGTCCAAGGGTTAAAGGCAGGAGGAAGGCAGGAAGTGGGCCACAGAGAGAGAACAGCCTAGCTTGGGCGGGCATACCTGACGGCCTGGCTTCTATTACATAGCGTGTGATGGGTCCTTTGCCAGGGTCTCCGCTGGACCAGTGGATGGCAATGGCTGAGCTGTACCGAACGATGATTGGTACTCCTGGTGGTCCCGGGGCACCTGCAAACACCCCACAGTGGGTAAGGGCGTCTGTGGAGCCATTATAGCCACCCTTTCCAACAACCTGTGCTGGTGGGAGGGGGCTGGGCAACCAGACCAGCTCTAGCCACAGCATCTCCAAGAGCCCGCAAATACTGTGTCTGAAAAGAGTGTCTCAGGCTGGGCCTGCCAGGATGTGGCTACCATCTCCCCTGTTTCCCTACACCCCACATTCTGAATCTCAGGTCCAGGTAGGGTGTAGGTGATGATCAGTCAGAGGGCTGAGGCATTGAAGTCCAGCCAGAACGTATTACGTGATCCATTCATGGACTCCTTCAGTGATGGGTGCCTCAGCTTACCCATCCACGAGGGCCCTTGTGGAAGAAAATCCTGAAAGGAGGAATCATGGCGGGCAGCAGAGGCGAATGAATTGATGGTGGACATGCCCAAGGATGAATTTCCCTCCACCATCTCCTTCCCTGGCATGGGATAATGCCTTCCCTGTCTCTTACTTGAAATCTCCTAGCCCCATGTGCATGTGCTGTTAGGTTAGGTGGGAAGAGAGTAGACTCAGGCCCTAGGAAGCCTAAAGAAGAGAACTTAGGGAAAGATATGTCTAGCATACTGAGATGCTGGAGGAGGGAGGTAGAATAAGACCCAGGAGGCAGGTTGCGTTGACACAGGACTGGGCCAGGCATCTGTCTATACTGTATCCCCACTACTTCCCTGGGAGTGTGCCAATATAAACCTGGTACCTGCCTTGTGACTCCTGCCACGTGTGATCCCCACCAAGCCTGTTTTCCACTAGACATGGAGCTCGCCATCCCTAGAGCATAGCACACAGTAGGTGCTTTCTGTATGCTCATAGTCCCAGGGGTTGAGGCAACACTGTGTGCATGAGTGCAGGCTAGTGGCCTCTGGCTGCCCGAAGGGACGAGAGCATGAGTCCAGCCTCTCACCGAAGCCCTCTGGGGCCCAGGAGAGCTGGTCAACTCAGACAGGACACCGGAGGCTCCTCACACAGCTGGATATCCCATCGCCAGGCCCCTATATCTGGTCCTGAAGGTGCAGTTTTGGGGGGGGGTCTCATTTTCTTTCCCCCTTCCTTCTCTAAGGAGCATCCTGCCTGCAGCCCACAGAGGGGAGACACGACCTGAGAGTGGGGTTCAGGTTGTGGTGGCCTTCAGAGTCCTTGCTGTTCACTCTGTACAGGACATCCCTCAGGGCTGAGGGAAGGGTAGCCGCGGGTTTTCTGGCTATGGGGCAGGGAGGGGGAAGGAGGAGGTGGCCTTCTGGTGGCCTTCTGAAGGAAGTGGGTCAGCTGGATGCTTCCTCAAGAGAGGGGTGGAACAGCAGGGTTGCTTAAGAGGTGGTTTTCATGTTCAGAATGGGAAAACCTGAGCCCATGACAGGGCCTGTGGAGAGGAAAGCCTACTGCTGCAGGGTTCTGGGTGAAAGGTGGAGCAAGACAAAGGTCGTCAGGGGCAGTGAAAGAGGTGATTAGGGGAGGAGCAGAGGGTTGGTCGCTGACAGGGAAGTACGAAGTGGCCTTCTGGGTATAAAGGCAGCTGGGAAAGGGGGTCTTGGGTGTTGGAGACTCTGGCCTGACTGTGAAGAAGAGTCTTACTGGAGGTGTTAGTTACCGCCTCCAGGGTGGTGGTCAGAGGAGATGCCTGCATCTCATGGCAGTCAGAACCTCTGTGGCCTCCCGGAGAGTGTACATTTGGACAAGTGCTGAGGGGTGAGTCTTCTGCACTCTGCTCTGAGAGCCCCTGTTGGGGTGGGGGGAGGGGGAGGTATGGGGAGGTGCTTCTGGCCAGCCTGGAGGCTTGGACACCTGCCAGGCAGCCTGCTTCCTGGACAGAGGTGACAGAGGTGACGACAGAGGTGACAGAAGCTGAAGGTTAGAGAAGAAGAAGAAGAAAAGACAATGAAAGCAGGATGGGCATGGGGGTTCACTCTTGTAAACCCAGCCCTTGGGCAACCAAGGCAGGAGGATCATAAGTACCAGGCCAACTTGGGCTCTATAGTGAGGCCCACCCTGGGGCAGCCTGGGCTGTGTGTTTGGGCCTGCTGGTGGTGAGAGGTCTGGGCCACTCCAGGCTTGGGGCTGGAATAGCCTGAGGACTTAGATGACAATAAGCAAGCCCAGGATGGGGAAAGAGAGTGGAGCTGACAGGAGGAGGGGCAAGGAGGGAGGAGGAGTCAGGGAAAGGAAGAAAGAGGGAGGGGGAAGGGGGAGGGGCCTTACTGTCTTCAGCTCTGGCTCCTAGTAGGAGGGCTGAGGACACGGTGCAGAGGGAAGCGTGGCATCTCTCCTACCTTCTCCAGGGCCCGTGGTGATGTTGGCTTCTATCTCAGGCCCATAGGTGAAGGTCTTGGCTTTGATGCGGAAACGGTAGGTCATGCCCTCGGCCAGGTCCTTCACCTTCAGCCACAGTGGGCTGTTCCCCTTCACGTCCACTGTCACAATCTTGCTGACCCCTGCGGGAAAGGACTGTGAGCAGGGGCTGTAGTCGCTGCCGAGAGCAGGGCCACCAAGGCCACCAGCAGCTACTGGGAAGAGGTGACAGTTGTGGCCCCAACCCGTTGAAATAGGTTGAGCTGTCACTCAAGTCCACATGCTGCCAAATGCTGTGTCAGGAGCATAGCTCTGTAAGTGAGCTCAGGAAAAGATGGCTCTCTGGATAAGGTACCAGGAGGAAAGCTATGTCCTGGCTGCCCAACCCAGAAGAGCCACAAAGTTCCCATCCTGTCTTACTTCTATGCCCCACATCAGTTCACCCACACCCTAACATCCCATAGAACTTGAAATCTAGTCACCCTCTGTTAGGAAGTTCTGTGAAGACACCCCCAGAATTGGAGCTGGATGGCACCTAGTGACTCCTCCAACCCCAATTCCAGCCCCAGTCCCAGCCTCAGTCCCAGTCCCAGCACTAACCCTATGGTCCTCTTTCCTCTTGTCCAATGAGAGCCTAGTTTTAGGAGCCCCATCATCTGTACCATTTGACTTTTAGGGCAAAAGTAGAGATGCTTCGGCACCTCAGGCCATGGCAGCCAGGGGCAGGATGGGGGCTTTCACAGGGTGGTACTGTGTGCTCTGGGCTTCCCTAGCCTAAAGTCTCCCTGAGAGTCAGGACCAGGGTTCATTGTGTAAGGTGTCACCACACAGAGGGACGGGCTTTGCGTCCTGGAGTTGGCCTGGTGCCTTCAGCTATGTCTCCAGCTGGCTTTCGTTTATTTTTCTGCTCAGCTGAAGTGTCAGGAGCATCCCCAACAGGGATATGGAGTCTCACATATAGCGAAAGAGCACCAAACACATAGTAGGCACTGTATTTAATTAAAAACTTTATATCTTACATATATGGATGATTTGCCTGCATGCATGTTTGCATACCATTTGCATGCCAGGTGCCTGAGGAGGGCCAAAAGAGGGCACTGAGTTCCCTGAAAGTGGAGTTACAGATGGCAAAGACCTGCCACATGGGTGCTTGGGAACTGGTCCTCTGGAACAGCCGACGGTACCCTGAACTTCTAAGCCACATCTCCAGGCCCTATTGTGTATTTATTTATTTAGAGACAGGGTTTCTCTGTGTAGCCCTGGCTGACCTGGAACTTATTCTGTTGACCAGGCTGGCTTCAAACTCACAGAGATCTGCCTGCCTCTGCCTCCCCGGTGCTGATTTAAAGGTGTGTGCCACTACCTCCAGGCTGGTCCTACTTACTTTTGAGACAGTGTCTCTAGTAGCTCAAACTGATCTCAAACTTGCTATATAGCTAAGGATGACCCTGAACACCCGATCTTGTTGCCTCCACCTTCTGAGTGCTGGAATTATAGGCATGGATCACCGTGGCTGGTCTATGTGGTGCTGAGGATGGAACCCAGGGCTTTGCGCATGCCAGGCAAGCCCTCTATCAATGGAGCTGCACCTCTAACCCCTATTTATTTATTGAACGATTGCTTTAGACACCACTGAGCAAACCCTTTACTGGTCTAGATCTATAAGAAAATGGGGTGCTGCTGGCCTGTTCCAGAGCTGTGGCACATGCTAGACGGTGCCCCTTACTTACTAGCTAGGCCATTAAAGAAGTTAGAAACCTATAGGGAGATGAAGTTTAGCCAGGTGGTCTAAACCCTGATGGAACAGGATCACAAGAGGCCAAGTGATCCATTTCTCAGTGGGAGGTCCTCAGGTCAGGTAGAAGCCACTGGGACAGGGGCCTGTCTAGGTTCCCTGCATTTTGTCTTCTTGACCTCTGACCTAGCCCTGCTCCTGACTGCATCTCTCCCCAGGACCTGCTTCCCCCTTGGTTCTGCTTTGCTCTGCGGGACAGGCAGCTGGCACCCAGGTAGCAGCAAGAAAGACTGAGGGCCATTGTTCCCACCGCTGACCCAGAACTGCTAGCCGCCTAATGTTCCCAGGCCCCACCCCTTGTTCTTGCCAGGTTCCAGTGCTGGGCCGAGAGAGTGAGGGGGAGGTGACCACAAAAGTGGTCACTTCCTGCCACCAGGGTGTCACTTCTAAGGCAGTCACGTCCCTATGCCTTGCTGTAAGTAGACCCAGACACTGAGGAACCTTCTTTCTTGTAAGTCCCTTGTTCTCTTACGATAGCGGCAGGGAATAAAACTGATTTCTGGGGACTTCTGCTCACCCCTGCCTCATTCCTACCGGCTGGCATTGGGCTATGCTATGTGAGAAAGTTGGCGGGTACCGGATGTCAGCTGTCAGGACTGTCAGTCCAGCTCCTCCCGAGAGCCCCAGAAGTAGAGCAAGATCTTGTTGGTGAACTGGGAAGGGTAGAGGCTGAGAGGGACTGGTCTGAAGAAGGCCTGAACTATGACAGTGTGTGCAGAGCAGGGGTCGAGTGATGGCCCACTCTCACACATCCTCCTGGGGACGCTCCCCAGGCTCTTCTGACTCGATTTCTAATGGGGTTTCTGACCCTCCATTGGGGGGGCTGCTGAGAACTCTGAGGTTAGGAAGGGGGCCAGGATAGCATGAGAGGGATATCAGAGGACTTTTCTCTGGGGTCCTGTCCCATCTTAGGGCAACTATATTTTGTCTGGATTCATTCCCTCCCTCCCTCCCTCCCTCCTTCCTTCTTTCCCTTCCTCCCTCTCTTCTTCCTTCTTTCCCTTCCTCCCTCCCTTCCTCCCTCCAATGTCCATCCTCTGCCAGCACAGAAAATGGGGCGCCTTAGGTGGCTGCTTTGACTCTGTCCTCGGAGGCTTTTGTCTCAGAAGCACCCTTTCCCTGGGTGGAGCCTCTGCCTTCCCATCTACAAGAAGGAAAGACTCTCCCCACCTCTAACTCCGGAGTGGTGATCTTGATATAGTCTTTGGGTGCAAGTCCTAGATAGGGAGAGTTCAGGCCACGAGGGAGGTTCCTACTCACCATCCACGGGGGTGCAGGGCTCATACACCAGCCTATAGCCCTCCAGAGGACCGTTGGGGAACTCAGGGGCTTCCCAGGACACATTCACTGAGGTCGTGGTCAGCTCGCTGAACTTGACCGAGCCTGGGGCGCTGGGGGCTGTTGGAGAGACAGCAAAGGGCTTGTGTTTTTCTCTTTCTGTGCAAGTTCAAAGCCTCAGGTTGGGCTCCAAGCAACTAGCAGGAGAGTTTGGGTCCATGCCCAGAAAGGAGAGAGAGTGAAGTGAGGCACAAAAAGAAGGCAGAAAGGGTCACTTGAGGCCCTTGAACCCTCTCTCCTCCTCCCTTGACATCATTAGCACTCAGCTGTCTAGCATCAGAGGCCCCGGCCCTGGGACAAAAAAGCCCTCCTTAAAGATGGGGAGTCTGGACTCTTTCCTATGTGGCTCTAAGCCCTGGCTAGCAGCATGGGACCAGCCACTGCATCCCCAAGGGTCACTGTGGGGCAAGACCATTTCCTGGCACCGTGGGGTGTGTCTTTCAGCAATCCTGCTCGAGAAGGTGGGGGTGTCTCTGCCTCAGAGTGGGCACTAAACAAGACGTCAGAACTCCGGAGACATGGCCTTCCTTTCATCCCTGGACTGCAGGGCTTGTCAAAGAGACACCAGTCAAAGAGACACCACGCTGTCAGGAGGAGCCAGGCCAAGGACAGGCAGATCCTCTGGAAGGGTTGTTTGCTTGTACTGAGACCCCTGGGGTGAACTCTGAAAACGCAGAGACAGAATATTCTGGTGTGTGGCAGTGGGGGGGGGGGGGGCGGGCGGGAAACATTCCTTTCCTCCCAGCATCCCAAGCTGGTTGGGTGGATGGCCAGGCTATTATTGTCCAGGGCTGCCTCCCACCAAGTCAGAACTAATCTTGACAGCTTCCGGCTTCATCTCCCCTGCTGTCTTTGAAGGGGGGAGGTGAACTCAGGGTCCTTTCCTGCCTCCCCCCCCCACACTCAGGGATAGGATGTGGGACAGGACATTCTGTTCTACTGCTACAGCTCCGGAAGCTTCTAGTGTCCCCGGGGTTCATATTGAGCATCGTTGAGATGGGCAGGCAGACAGACAGATGGAGGCTAGCACACCCAAGTTCAGCCTCTGGCTGAGCTGGCAGAGCCAGTGGAGGAAAGGACCCCCTGGAGTGGGGGCTTGTCCCAGAGAGGATCCTGGTTAGGAACTGTCTCTAGTAGCTTGCTTTCCTTAAGGGTCGTGGGAATCACAGTAAGGGGTGCATCGGGCTAGAAAAGCTGGTTTCTGTTGGCCAGGGCAGAAGGCTGTACTTTTTTGCCTTCTGTATCCATAGTCAATTGGATCTAACAA